CTCCAGGGGACTATGGAGCATCTCTCAAAATGTCCTGTAACTGTGGTGAATCACCTGTCCTCTTGATCAAGGAGGCCATGGAGACCCCACCAGATGGGCTTGAACCAGTGTCCAGTCTACAAAGAGTAGTGTCAACACAGAGGGAACATTTCCTCCATGCTTCCATGTGAAGCCATCCACAGTCAAGCAGAACCTTTAACTTATCTTCACATAGACAGAACTGGTAAAAGAAAGGAGCTAGGGGTGCCTCCCAAACCCATGTGACCCCTGAGGAACAGATCCTCAAACGGCCTTAGAAGTAAAAATAAATTGGTTTATATGGGCCAACTGTATGGTCTTAAACACCCAAAAGGAAAGTATAACCAAAGACTAAAGGGGTCAATATAATTTTTAAGAGTCCATGTGTATAGCTAAAGGCTGCATAGCAAGAAACAATGCCAGAGAGGAGATACCTTCCTTTGAGTTGTTGGCCAGGGTGGCCCAAGAGACTCTCAGACAGTAACCCAGCATAGAACTGGAAAAATGAACAGCAGACCCCAATCTTATCTAAATGAATATTGGCAACTGCTTGCTGCTAGATGAAGAAGAGCTGATCTTCCTACAACAAGGAACTCTAGGTAGGCTGACTAAACTCAGCAGATAGACAAGCACTGGGGAATGGCTGGGGGCACTCACAACACAGTCAGCTGTACCAGGGATGACAGAGTATATAGGCTCCAGTGGGGGGGGCAATGGGAGGGTGCCACTTGGGATGTAGGTATATAGATGAATAAGATTGTTTGGGATGTTCTATATGAAATACATACACCAAAAAAGATCAATAAATTTAAAAATGTGTTATATTTGAGGAAGAAGCATAAAAATTTGCTTCATGTTAATTAGTAGATGTGAAGAAGAACTAACTTTATAAATCTCAGTTTATCATCCACCATAGACCATACTTAACACAAGAGAGAGATCTTTTCAATGCAGTTCCTATAAGAAGAGGTTCTGCAGTCCTCTTGTTTACCAGCACATCACATAGGTGAGAAGTTACAAGTGCAAAGTCTGCCACAAGACTTTTGCCCACAAATCCCCCCCTGGCGGTCCACAGAAGGGCCACGCAAAAGAGAAGCTGCACAGAATGGAAGACTATAAGAAATGTTTCAGTCACAGGGGGAAAAAAACCTCAAAATCTACAAACATACACATACCAGCTTGAGACCCTACAAGCAGATCTGTGGTTGTGCATCAGCAGGAAATATTCAAGCACCATGTGAAAGTATGTTCAAAAAAAGAAAAAGAAAAAAATAGAGAGCCATGTGTGGTTCCGAGATTGAGATCAACCTAGTCTACATAGTGAATTCTGGGCTAGCTAGAGCTACAGAGAGACTTTGTCTCAAAAAAATAAAAACAAATATTTTTATTGCATTGGAAATCTTAAAGACTTTTTAAATTTAATTTGTGTGTACGTGTATATGCGTGTGTGTGTGTATGTGTGTGTGTGTGTGTGTGTACATATGCAGGTGCTCTAGAGGCCAGAGGAGGACATCCAACCCCTGGAGCTGGAGTTACAGGCTGTTGCGAGCTGCCTGATATGGGTACTGGGAACTGAACTGAGGTCCTCCTGAAGAGCAGTAAGCACTCTTAAATGCTGGATCATCTCTCCACTCCCATAAATATTTCTTAAATGCTTCCTTGTGATTCTGTTCTCACATCTAAATCTCCGCCCACCCCCCACCAAGAAAAAAGGAAAATGTGCCATCTAGGCTAACTATGGATAATTAGATAATTGTTTATTGTCTGTGCTGGCTTTGGTTTTTGGTTTCATTGTGTCCCTTTTAATTTTTTTTTTCATTACCAAGCTGGCCTTGAACTCACTATATAGGTCAGGCTGGCCTTGAACTTAGGATCCCCTTGTCTCTGCTTCCAGAGTGCTGGGATTAGAGGCCTGTACAGCATACCAGTCTTCCTTTTGCATTTTGTCACTTGTGTTGCTGTTTTACTAGTGAACATGATCTAAAGTTTCCAATATTTAATAACAAAATGGAGGCTGATAATAGTCCCTATTACCCATTGCCGTACTGCAATATTGGATTATCCTTTCAATAAATTAGATGGCCAAGAAAAACAACAACACTAACAAAGAATTCCAAGGACTAAGGGCTAAGACTGACTTGCCCAAAGGGTTTCTTATGAAATATGAAGACCTTGGCTTCCCACTTTGATGGCTACATTGTAGATAAGGTGGGAGTCTCACATAAAAATAGGATCACAAAGAACTATGCTTTCTGCAAAAGGGCACACAATAAGTCTGCTGCTCAAAATTAGTCAACACGAAAACTTCTGTTTTCAGCCTTATCATTGGACAAAGGGAAAACATATATGAAATTAGGCCTTACCCAGGATGTTAGCCTTAATTTGTATTATTTATGTGGCCCAATGAACTTCAATGTTTAATTTAAAATGATCCTAAGAACATGGATGAACCTCAAAAACATTATTAGCCTCAATGGAAGAAGTTAGATACAGAAGACTGCATATTACATGATTTCATTTGTATGAAATATGTTTATTTTTAGTCTTGCTAAATTGATGAATTCCAGGTTCAGTGAGAGATCCTGCCTCAAAAATACTGTGGAGGGCAACTGAAGAAGACGCCCAACATCAGCTTCTGGCCTCACTCACACCTGCATACATTGGCACATGTGAAAACATCACACACAAATTAATTAATTACTGAGACACTTTCAAGGAGGGACCCCAAATGAAAACACAAGCTAACCCTTGGAGAATGGATGGAAAACTTTAGCGATGTATGAGAATGTGAACAAAGTCACCTTTTTCATGAGGTTCCAAATAAACTTGATCACAAGAAGACACAGAAGGAAATGTCCCACAAGATTACGCTTTCTTGCTTCTTCAGTGTGGGCCCTGATTCCCAACCTAAAACTCTATTAAGAGGCTAGATCAGGTGGTCTACTCTTTTGCTAAATAGGTCAGGCCTCCAACTAAAGTGGGCCAGGAAACTTGCTGCTCAGTTCCTATACACAAATGTCAACGCTTACTATCCTCTTAGTGACAGAGGCAGTCCCTACCCCACCCAACTCCCCCGAGTTGGCCTTTATGTACAGCTTCTTCCTCCAGCACATGTATTCTGATCCACAAGTTTAAATAGCATTCTAAATCCAACACAACAAATTTAGATCACACTCCTGTCCCTTCAGAAGGGAGGAACAAAAGGATGAACTCCCAAGGCCTAAGAACCTGGAATTCATCAGCTAAACAGCAAGTATACCACTGAATGCAATCAGATCCAAGGGAGGTTGATTTCCACAGAAAGACAAATCGGAGCTAGCAGTAAAACACAGCTGGTAAGGTTGACGTCAGCAGTACTTGATAAAGGTACAATGATTGTTAATGTTTTTCACTTCACTTATCTGACACTTCTTAATTCCTCCTCCTCCTCTTCCTCCTCCTCCTTCTCCTCTTCTTTTTCTTTTTCTTCTTCTTCTTCTTCTTCTTATTATTATTATTATTATTATTCTGTGACAGAATCTCACTATGTAGCCCAGTCTGACTTATAACTTAAGCTCCTCCTGCCTCAGCCTCCCTGGTGTTGGGATTATAGGCATGCATCATCACACTCAGCTACAAAGACTCATTTTCCCAGAGATTTCTGAAATACAAAAAATGTAAAACACAGAAAATGTTTACTGGGTAGTTTTTTTTGGGGGGGGGGTTGAAAGGGAGAGGGAGAGGGAGAGAGAGGGAGAAGGAGAGGGAGAGGGAGAGGGAGAGGGAGAGGGAGGAGAGAAAAGGCAATGCTTCAACATAAAGACCACCACCATGTGAAAGAAGGGTTGCCTTCTCTGTGGCCTCAAGCTGTTTGATTACAGACTCCTCAAGTTAGCCCATGATTTCATGTTGTCTATCTTGTGTCTGCTGTGCTGATATTAAACTGCTTCCTCAAATAGAAGCCCTGTAAAGAGCGCCCATCCTTCATCACCATAATACTTCCTCAGTGTCAGGCAGGGCGAACCCTTGGCAAAATTGTAAAATAAGTGGCTCCTCTTCGAGTCCCTTTCCTTTGCAGTTTTCCTCTGGAAGGTCATACTATTTCCCTTCCAATCCAGGTACCTGGCACTTTCATACTTCTTATGTTTTTAGGGCAACCAAAATAGAATCCTGGGGTGGGGAGGGGGGTGAATCTAACATACTAATTAACCCTATTATAAATGATTGATTGACATTCAAAAGATATCCAAAGACAAATTAGCATTAGCATTAGTAGAATTTAAGTATTAGAAAATAGCAAGGAAGGTGTTTTGAGAGGCAGAAGGCCTCATCAAAGTTTCTGGGATTAGAGAATGTCCATTGGATCAGCTGGTACCAAATCCTATCAGTTCTTTTTTCTACCTCCCATTTCCTATAATACTTGGTTTTTTAAAGTCTGCAAAATGTTTTTTGTTTTGTTTTGTTTGTTTGTTTTGTCTTTCAGAACAATCAAAAGGAGAAAGAAATTAAGACAGCCTCTCCTTCAAGTGCCTTGATCCATGGACAGCTCGGTCCATGTGCTTCATAATGGCAGGGCATTGACAAATCTGGCTTTTTCAATATTAAATAAAATTCTGCTGCTGACCAGTTAGATAATACAGAATCTATGTCATCCAAAAAGCAAAACAGATAAGTAATCCACTCGGTTAATAGTGTGCTATTAAAACTGCATATGTCAAATTATTTCATGCATAATGCAAAAACATATGATCTATCATAGTTAAGACAGTCTTAAAATGCCTAAGAGCCAAGTTAGATGTGGGTCTAAAATGTTTTTGTTTCTGACATTGCCTCCCAGGATGATTTTGTAGGTAAGAATCTTCCTCTGTCTGCTTTCACAAGCCTGATGTTTCAGAGTCAGAAGACTGAATTGAATATTGATGATAAATATGGGTATTGGCCTAAAAACAGAAAATATATTAATTGCTCCCCAAAGAACATTTATGTTAAAAACATTCTGAGGGCTTGCTTTAGCAACACATACTAAAATTGGAATGATACAGAGAAGATTAGCATGACTCTTGTGCAAGGATGACATGCAAATTCAAGAATGTTCTATATTTTTTCATGGCTACTTAACAAAACAACAGATACATACTTCGAAAAAAACATTCAGAGTTCAATATGGTAGAAGCAGGGGGGGGGAAGCTACAAACAAATAGGCTTTTGGCTCCCAACTGGTTCCAGAGTCTCCCTGTTTACTTTCACATAGCTCTGGGCACAGTTCAAGGCCTATGAATCCCTGAAAGGAACGTTGATACCTATTAGAGTGAGCCAGGCCAGATTCACATCTCTACAGTCTGACTGAGAGCTTCTCTTGAATTGTATGTGCCTGTTGCTGATAGATGTTTGTCTTCTTTGACCATGCATCCCACCCCTTTCCGAACCATGCCCTTGTGGAGAATTCAAGTCCATGTCTGTGGTCCATTGTGGTCTATTCAGCATTTCCTTTGGAACATGTGGCTGAGTCCCAGCAGTGGGTTGACCTTTGCTCTTTGGACTGCCTGAGCTTGTACTCTAGGAGAAACAGATGTATGTGACTTTAAGAAACTCCAGGGTACTGACCATGCCCTGGTTAGTGGCTTCTGAGAGGTGGAGAAGTATAGCTTCCTACATCAGTCGGAACTTTCTTACCCCACACTTCCCAAGTTTCTGAGTTTCAACTGTATGGATTGTAATAAAGAAGTCATCAGCTTCCACTAAGACTTTGACACAGGAAAAAGATGGTCAAGAGTCTAGTGCCACTTTGGCCTAATCCTAACACCCTTGAGCAATTTACTGTCCTCTACTGAAGTTGTACTAGCCTGTTTTCTGTTGACATAATAAAATTTCCTGAAATAGGGTAATGCATAAGGAAAAAAGGCTTCATAGCCAAATGAGGTTTTGTACTCTTATTACCACAGCAGAAGGCTCAGGAGTTCAAAGCCAGTTTCAACTACATAGTAAGTTTAAGACCAGCATGAGCTACATTTAGTCCTGTCTCAAAAATATTAATTATTTAATTAATTTTTAAAACAATGGTTTCTTTTTATTTTATTTATTATTTTTCTTTTATGTGTATGTGTGGATTGCCTGCATGTATGTAAGTGCACCTGTGCAGTGCAATGCCCAAGGAGAACAGAAGAGGGCGTCGGATCTCCTGGAACTGGAGTTACACACAGTTGTTAGCTGCCATGTGGGTGCTGGGATTCGAACCTGGGTCCTCTGCAAGAGCAACCAGTGCTCTTATGTGCTGAGCCGTCTCTCTAATCCAAACAACGGTTTCTTTAGCTCACACTTTCAGAGACCGAAATGGCCAAGATCAGGCAACTCCATCTGTATGGGTTTCAATGGGGGCTTTATAGTGGAGCTTTTCATCATGGTAAAACAAGAAAAGAAAGATCTCAGAGCCAGTAAAAAAAAAAAAAATTAAGTGGGGTCTGGAGAGATGGGTCAGTGGTTAAGAGTAATTGCTGCTCTTGCAAAGGCCCAGGTTCAGTTTCTCCCACCCACATGGTGGCTAATAATGGTCCATAACTCCATTTCCAAGGGATTTGACACCCTCTTCTGGCTTCCATGGGTATTGCATGCATGTGGTGCACTTACATACATGCAGGCAAAATACTCATATACAAAATAAAAATCGATCAATAAAAATTTTTAATCTAGGAGACATCCCTGGCATCTTCTCTTCCTTTATTTATTTTATTTTTATGTGTATCTTGTGGTGTCAGAAATCACACCAGGCCTTGTGCACTGAGCTACAATCCCATCCTTAAGGTCTGCTTTTATTTTTTTCATAACTAATTAGGGTCCCCAGAAAAAAACATTATTTCTGAGGTTAGATACCCAATAATCTAATTAGCTCCCATTGGGCCCCACCCCTTAACGATTCCACTACTTCTTAATACTATTATATTGAGGGCCAAGCATCCAACATATGAACCTTTGGGTGACAATCCACAACCAAATGAGAGCAATAGTATTTCTCAAAATATGCTTTCCAAATATCAGTTCAAAAATGAATGCCTTGAATCTGTCTGATGGAATCAGTCTCTAAGGGTAGAACCACACTAGTTGAGAACCATTGTCCAAATCCAGCTAACACATCTACTTAATAATGTTACAAGGATAAAATGGTATGGCAAATATAAAGTGGTCCACAGTATTGTTTATTAGTTGATATCACATTCTGAAATCTAAACAGATGTTAGCTTGAAACCAGATTTTGCCGTTTATAAAGCAGTTAGCCTTGAGAAAAAAGGTTCTTTCTCTGAACTCCAGTTTTCAAAATCTATAAAATGTGGATAACAATACCTAACTCAAGGGAGTCACATGATAAAATGAAATGTTCTATGTAAAATGTTCAATGCACATCCAACATATAATAAGTATCTTAATCATGAACGTACCTTTCTTTCTTTCCAAAAACTATCTCAAGCATAAGCTAACCTGCACTTACTCTCACTGCTACGGTGAATCTCATTCATGGTACTTTCTACAGAACTCTGTGCTTGACTCTAGCCTTCCCTTTTGGAAACAACTGTCCCTGCTCTCTCAGTTGCTGCAAATACCAGCTTGTAAACAGTTACTAGCCTGGTTATTTAGGACTAATAACTTGGGAACTTGGGATCTCTGCTTTCTGTGCCTAGTCAAAGATATGATTCTCTTCTGTCCTCCCTCTCCACACCTCTCACTTTACAATATTGAATTATGGGGTGGCATCCTCGTCCCCATAGCCACCCTTCAGAACAGCAAACACTTTTAGCATTTTAACAGTTGATTTCTCAGGGTCTAGCTTCACAATTCCTGGTACTATAGTAGAGGGTCACAAAAAGCAATAAAGGGACAGCAAATTGCATGAAATCCATAGATTGTCTTAAGCCCGCCCTGGGAAACCCCTAGCATCTCTACGTTCTAAACTGGCCTCCAGTTCTGTTCTCAGCACTCCAAGCAGGAAAGAAGGTGGGGATTGAAGTTTAGATAAAACCACTTAGCAAACAAGGTCACATCTTTGTCTGGAGTTAATTCTATAAGGTTCCACTTGACAATGTGGACAAGGGATCCTTCCCCAGAAGTCTAGTCTTAGTAATTCTTAGTAATAAAAAAAGATACTTAATTATTCTGTCACAATAGAAATAAATTATATCCTATCTTGAATTAGAGAAGTAAAAAATAAATAAAGGAAGACCATCTATTTCATCTGTAATTAATATCAGATATGAGAGACTTTTCTGAAATGTTTGCCCAGCAACTTTCCCCCCACAGTGGATAAATGCCCTCATGAGGCAAGAACCTGTGAGTTCCTCTACAACTGTCTACCTGCATTCCAAACTCAGAAACTCCTGGGGGTGGGGGTGGGGGGCTGAGAAGCTGTCTACTCGCAAAGGTTAGGCGTCTGAATCGCTTGTGGCACGGATCATATTTTTCTAGTTTAATCGTACCCTGTGCTGGAGAGAGGCCCTTGTCCAGGCGAGCCCAGGGAGGCCATTCTGCATTGGAAAAGGAGCTGCTACAGCGAGGCTGGGCCGGGTGGAAGGAAGACCAGGCCCGGGCAGCTCGCAGAAAGCAACAAGAAGCGACAGCCACCAGACCCTGGACTGTCTTCCATCAGAGACCGGGGTCTGGGCACTCTGTGTCCCACGAGACAGGAAACCCCTCCCTAAGTCCATCCTCCACTCAGGTCCAGCTGGGTCCATATGTCTCCGAAGCCCTCTCTTGGGAATCCAAAAAGTGCAAAGCCCGGCAAGAACCCGTAGCATTTCCTTCTTGAGGGCTGAAAGAGTGGGAATGGGTAGCATGCAGTGGCCAAGCCCGGACAAGTCAGCCGCGCGCCCGGCGCTCCTCCAAGGAGACCTGGCCACGGGATCATTACCCGCGACAGAGAGGAAATCCCAGGTGTCCACTCGCTTCCAGGAGGACTTGCAGCTTGGGTGACTGGAAGGAAGGCGCCGGACTAGCAGAGGCTGCAGGCAACTCCGGAGTGAAGGGAGCGTGATCCACCCGGACCTAGGGGTTCCGCACTGACCGCTGGAGTCCCCACCCGCCCCCGGGAGGCGGAGCCGGCCGGCGACCCTCTGGGGAGAAGTTCCCGGCGCTCCTAGGGGGCGCGGTGAGTGGCCTAGCGGCCCGGGATGTTTCCAGCCAAAGAAAGTCCCAGGAGTGGGGCACGAAGCCTCGCTCCGTAACTCTCGCCGCGCCCCCTTCTCTTTGGAAACTCCACACTGGAGCCTGGGGACCTAAGAGCTCAGTCCTGTCCAAACTGTGTGAAGCCCAGAAAGAACGCACAGGCGCTTTCTTCCCAGAACTTGCCAGGGCTGGGGTTGGGGAAGGGGCCAAGGGGCTGGCCCAGCCTGACCTGCTGGAGGCTCTCCATTAGAAAAAGGCAGAGCACTCTCTGACACATTACCAGCGCGGGATTCACTGTCCTCCATGCTCTTTCCTGCTCACAGGGGGCTGGTCTCGAATGCTGGCACAGTTACAGATGAGGCCACAACGCCCAGGCCCACTCTCAACCACTGGAGCAGAGAGCGAAGAGAGTAAAGGAGCACTCTGGCCTCTGACCTTCGGGTCTCCTCTCCTGTAGCCTAGTCTTCCCCCACTAGGCATCCTCATCCCTCTCCCAAAAACCATAGTCTGATTTTTATGCAAGCACACAGACGATGGTAGGACTGAGTGTTAAAACCAAACACAGATTTTTCTTTAGAACTGGAGCAAAGTGAAAGGAGCCTAGGAACACCTAACCTGGCGACCTGCTCTAATCTGGAGACTGAGACCCTGCCCCACACCACCTTCACCTTCTCAACAGGTTTGCAAACTCTGTTACCAGTTCGAAGGACAAGTCATTTTGAGCGCTCAGCGTTGTAAAATCTGGTGCGGCGGGGGGCGGGGGGCGGGGGAGTTCTAAGTTTTGTTAGAAGCTGAGGCTATTTGTTCTCAAACCTGATTCAGCGCAAAGCAAAGGCCTCTGGCAGCTTTCAGAGTGCGGACTCCGCCCGGCACAGGCACAGTCGGTCTGTGGTGCCTTCCGCCCGCCAGCACAGGGCTGTTCTCTTAATGAATTACTAATGAGTTAAAATTGGGCAGC